TTCTTTATACGCACTCACTAAATTAATGCGAATGAAATAATTTGTACATAGCTGTAAATAAATATCTACATTCTTGTTTTGTGGTTTTTACTTTTAGAAATAAGTAAATGCTCTTTATACTCACTTTCTAAATAAAATGATTAATAAATGATTTGTACGTAATAGTAAATAGTATTATGTTCTTGTTTTGTGAACTTCTTATTTCGTAAAATTATTAAATGTTCTTTATACTCACTTTCTAAATAAAATGATTAATTAAATGATTTGTACGTAATGGTAAATAAGTATTATGACCTTGTTTTGCTGTTTTATTTCTAGAAATTTGTTAAAATTCTTTATATTTACTCACTAAATAAAATAATTAATGCGAATGAAATGATTTGTACATAATAGTAAATAAGTATATATGTTCTTGTTTTGTGAACTTGTTTTTTGCTGCTTTATTTCGTAAAATTATTATATGATCCTTATACTCACTTGCTAAATAAAACGATTAATGCGAAAGAAAATTATTTGTACGTAATGGTAAATAAGTATCTATGTTCTTGCTTTTTAAACTTGTTTTGCTATCTTTATTTCTGGAAATTATTAAATATTCTTCTACTCACAAGCTAATAAAATTATAATACGAGTGAAATGTTTTGTACGTAATGATAAATAAGTAATTATATACTTTGTGAATTTGCTTTGCTATTATTATTTCTAGAAATTATTAAATATTATACTCACCAACTAATTAACGCGATTGAAACAATTTGTACATAATGGTAAATAAGTATTTATGTTCTTGTTTTATGAACTTTTATTTCGTAAAAGTATTAAATGGTTTTTTATACTCACTAACTAAATTATTGCGAATGAATTGTTTTTGTAAAGAATAGTAAATAAGTATTTATGTACTTGTTTAGTGGGCATGTTATTATTTTTATTTCTAGAAATTATTAAAAGTTCTTTATACTCACATGCTGGATGAAATGATTATTACGAGTAAAATGATTTTTTGTATTCTTGTCTTGTGAACTTGTTTTGTTTTTTTTTATTTCTAGAGATTATTATATGTTTTTTTATACTCACAAGCTGAATGAATGATTAATGCGAATAAAATGGTTTGTTTATAATAATAAATAAGATTGTTCTTGTTTTGTGAATTTGTCGTGCTGTTTTTAGAAATTATTAAATGTTCTTTCTACTCACTCTCTAAATTAATGCGAACGAAATGGTAATAAATAAGTATTTTCAGTTATGTTCTTGTTTTGTGAACTTGTCTTGCTGGTTTTATTTCTAAATGCTCTTTATACTCACACTCTAAATTAATGCGAACGAAATGATGATAAATAAGTATCGTTCTTGTTTTTGTGAAAATTGTCTTGCTGGTTTTATTTCTAGAAATTATTAAATGCTATTTATACTCAACTCTCTAAATTAATGCGAATGAAACGATGATAAATAAGTATTATGATCTGTTTATGGACTTGTCTTGTTGGTTTTATTCTAGAAAGTATTAAATGCTCTTTATACTCACTCTCTAAATCAATCGAATGAAATGATGATAAATCAGTATTATTTTCTGTTTTATGAACTTGACTTGCTGGTTTTATTCTAGAAATTATTGAATGTTCTTCATACTCACTCTCTAAATTAATGCGAATGAAATGATGATAAATAAGTATTATGTTCTTGTTTTATGAACTTGTCTTGCTGGTTTTATTTCTAAAAATTATTAAATATTCATTATACTCACTTACTAAAATGAAATAATTGATACGAATGAAATGATTTGTACGTAATAAGTATTTATGTTCTTGCTTGAGAACTTGTTTTACTGATTTTATTTCTAGGAATTATTAAATGTTCTTATACTCACCGACTAAATCAATGAGAATGAAATGATATAAATATTATGTTCTTGTTTTGTGAACTTGTCTTGCTGGTTTTATTTCTAGAATTCTTAAATGCTCTTTATACTCACCCACTAAATGAAATAGTTAATGCGAATGAAATGATGATAATTAAGTATTATGTTCTGTTTGTGAACTTGTCTTGCTGGGCTTTATTTCTAGAATTATTAAATGCTCTTTATACTCACCCACTAAATGAATAATTGATGCGAATGAAATGATTTATACGTAATAATAAATAAGTATTTATGTTCTTGTTTATGAACTTGTCTTGCTGGTTTTATTTCTAGGAATTATTGAATGTTCTTTATACTCACCCACTAATTTAATGAGAATGAAATGATAATAAATAAGCACTATGTTCTTGTTTTATGAACTTGTCTTGCTGGTTTTATTTCTAGGAATTATTAAATTCTCTTTATACTCACACTCTAAATTAATGCGAATGAAATGATGATAATTAAGTATTATGCACTTGTTTTACTGTTTTTATTTCGTAAAATTATTAAAAGTTCTTTATCTCACTCACTAAATGAAATGATTTGTACGTGATGGTAAATATATATTTATTCTTGCTTTATGAATTGTTTTGCTGTTTTTATTTTAGAAATTTATTAAATGTTCTTTATACTCACAAGCTGAATGAAATAATTAATTCGAATGAAATAATGATAAATAAGTATTATGTTCTTGTTTTGTGAGCTGTCTTGATTTATTTCTCGAAATTGTCAAGTGTTCTTTATACTCACCCACTAAATTAATGCGAATGAAATGACAGTAAAATAGGTGTTTTATGAACTTGTCTCACTGGTTTTATTCTAAAAATTATTAAAATGTTCTTATTGTGCAAATATAACCTTAAATGTGATCATTATTCTATTTGCAGTAAATTGAATTAAAAAAAAAAAAAATCCAAAAAAAAAAAAAAAAATCCGTCCGTCCGTCCCTAATTTTGAAATCCATGTAATGCAAAACGAAAAATCAACTTTGCGTGGCCTAAGCAAGAAGAAAATTTTAAAGTTCACCTAAGTTTTAGAAGTTGTAAAATACACTTTGTGCATCCAACGAATGTTCTAGGATAATAACTTTGACCATCAAAAGTGATTTTTTTAAAAAAATGTAAAATATATATTATTTATATATATGTATAAATCTTTATATAAGTTGATATACATATGTCATCAGAAGTAATGTTAAAGAAATTGGAATCAAAAACCATTGATTTCTTTTTTTTTTTTTTTTTGATCTGCACTGCAATAAATCAAAATCGATATCGATTACAAACGATTTATTAATAATAAATTAATCAAACAAATCGATTAGTATTGACTATAATCACTTAAAATCTCTATCACATTAAATCGACAGGGGTGGGGTGGTTATTATCGATTAAAATTTAATGAGTTTAATAAATTATAATCGAGTTTCAAAATTTTCTGATGCACTGAATAGGGTGAAAAGTCTAATGAGTGCTATTGCTGTGTAAGTTTTTTTTAAAAAAAATTTCAATGTAACTAAACTACTTTAGCAATAAGAGCTTCTTTAATGCTGACAAACCCAAGGTGTGTACTAAAAGATGATATCGGACAATCGTTATTATGCGGAAAAAATGCTTTAGAATGACTTGTAGTTACAAACTATTCAACGGCTAAATGTATTTAAAATATTTAAAATATAAATAAGCATTACAATAAGCTTATTATTAAATTAGGTTGTTATTTATAATTTTTTTTTTATGATGATAATATATCATAAAAATGCACCTACCGGTATTTTCATTTCTGATTTTGGAATTTCAAAATAGAAATGAATTTTTTTTTTAAACACCCACTTATTTTCGAAATAAGTTAATTCTGAACATCCTATTCTTTAGAATAACAGTTGGAGTTATGTAAAGTTTATGATTTACTATAAACTAATTCAATTTTTCATATCTTATCTATAAAAATTTCTGAATTTCCTATTAATGTTTCAAAAAAAATAAATGCTTTATGCATTTCAAAAGATCCGGTTAATTCAGAAATAAGGCAGCCATTCTCGGTATCAAAAGGCCAAAGGTATTATGTGCAATTTTAGCGTTAACAGCTGTGTTAAAAGCATTAAAAGTCTTGATCGGGCGTACATTTAATCAATCTATGGTAGAATAAAATAGAGTAACTCTTTGATAAATTACCCGTTATAGCCATAGTTACCCAATGTTTAGAATCTCATAGTTGTGTAGCCTAAATTAAGTCATCGAGTACACAATAGAACTTGTGATTATAACAATAAAGAAGTGCTACGATCAAAGGCCATATCTTATCAGAATACACAAAAAATATCCGTAGCGCACAGACCAAAGTATCAAATGATTCGATTTTCACAAGTGCAGAGGTGAAAAATTAAAATCACGTGCATTACACAATTGTTATCACATATAAATAATATTTTAAAAAATTGATCTACATTATTTGTCACTAAGGTAGCATTACGGTACTGAGTACAGTAGTTTACAATATTATTGTTTCACAAATTCATCGGTTTAAACTCAAAATTATACTATAATCTTAAGTATATACGTATCTATTAAATAGATTAGGTTAATTTAATGTCACACATACGTCCAGTACAGTTTTTTATAATTTAATTTAACCTAATAATTATATAGATCGCCTATTAGTGTTTGTAACAATCTTATCCAACGTGATCAACATCACCTAAATTAACTTTCATTAAAACTTATACTTAAAAATTAGTCATGATGACTTCATGAGAAAATTTGATAGACCAAAATTCTATGCATATTTGTATGTAACACATCGTTACTAAATAAGTTTTGATTTTCTTTATTGCTGTATTTTATACACGCACGTACGTAACACAACGTACCTATCAAACTTATTCTCACCCCAAATTACGTACTTTACTGTACGTACTTTGAAGCTTTAAAAGTTATCTATTAGCTCTTACGTACTAATAATTTTCTTATTTCTTCGAATTTTATGAATCATGGTAGTATCTAGGATGTCTTTGTGACGTTTTTTTATAAATCGAATCATCTGATGTATTTTTCTTTTTAATAATATAAAATTTTTATTAAAAATAATACATCGTTATTGTTAGCATATAATAGATGATAATATCCCAAAGAAAACAATTTTGGCCATTGGTGAAACTGGTACTGGAAAAAGTACCTTCGGTTTAAAAGTTTTCAATGTTGATACGGTTCCTGGTTCCGGTATATCATCAGTTACAAGAATTTCCGAAATTTTCGAAAATCTATTCTTTAGATACATTGATACTCCTGGTTTTTCTGATTCCGAAGGATTAGATGATGATGAAGTTTTTATTGATATGCTTTCTTTAATTCAAGAAAATTCCGTTAATAATAAATTTAAAATTGATCTCATTTTATGGTTTTGCTTTGAAAGTAGAAGATGTAATCAACAACTTCAACGTGGTGCTAAATTTATTCAAAAACTTTCCGATTATTCGGATCTTTTAAATAATGAGGATTTAAATATTTGGAATAACGTTTTAATTATTATTCAAGGTCAAGCTTTAGATGATGCTACTGTTGAAGGTCCTCAAGCTGCTGCTCGTCTTGCTTGGCTTTCTTTTATTAAAGAGAAAAATATTTTATTTAATATTGATGATTTTAAACTTCGATATTTCCCTTGCTTTGTTTATAATTTTCAAGATATTCCTTCTCCTTATATGAACATGTCTCAATCTCAACGACAAAGTTTAAATGTTTATTCTAATTCGGAAATTATCTCAAAGATGCAACAACTTGTCTCGGAAATTTCTTCAAAATTTAATGGATTTAATGTTTGTTTTAAAAGTGCTAAATGTTCTAGATGTGATCAAAAAGGTGATCCTAGACTTTTTAAAAATAAATGTCATTTTGATTTTAAGCATAATCTTTCTACAAAACTTGTTCACTCTAATGTTATAGAAGGTTATCATATTGGTCCTATTGTTTGTGTTCATTCCGATAAATTTCATCAAGATCAAACAAAAGTTAATGTTTCTATGGCTACTGGTGGTGCTATAGGTGGTGCTATAGGTGGAACTGTTGGTAGTATTCTTGCCTTGGCTGGTCAAAAAAATGCTGCTTCTAGTGGTGTTATTGGTTCAATGACTGGAATTGTAGGTGCTACGGCTGGAAAAATTGTTGGTGAATTAATTACTGCTTATGAATGCTCGGAATGTGGTTCTAATTGGACAAAACCTGGTTGTATTAAGAAATGTTCTAATTGTGATAAATTATGGGATTCTTATGCTAATAATTGTGGAAAAAGATATTCTTGTTGTAAAAAATCTGATGATGATTCTGGTTGCACTTTAATATCTTATTGTGTATCCGATAATTGTAATACAAATTTATCGGGTTGCATTTGTATTGTTTGTAATCAATCTAGACGTACTACTGGTTGTCATCAAGGGAATCAACATGATATTATCTATTTTAATGACTAAGAATGACTAAGAACACGTATTTTTTTTAATAACTAAGAGGACGTATTTTTTTTTTTAATCACTAAGAATACTGTTTTTTTTTTAACTAAAAAATCAATAATTTTTACTTTAGGATTTTTATCGCAGAAATAGCTGATTCCTTTTTCTCTTGTTTGTTGTATATAGATGAATTTATCTGAATTAGCTTTTGCAGATACTAGATTAAACGTTTTTTTTTATTGACTTTTAAAAATTTATTTTGTTTCTATAATACTTGTAATTTTTCTCTAATCGTCTCAAAATAATTTGACAAGAGTAATTTCATAAGCTTTATAAAGAAATTAGAAATGCTTTACGTATAAAAATTTAACCAAATTTTAATTACTCAATTTACTTTTGTATCATTTATCAAGTTATACAACTGACTTTTGATATAAGAAAGTCTCGGGTCCAGCCAAAATCGTATATTGAGATTTTCTATATCAAAAGTTTTTATTATAAAAGTTTCAATTAGAACCTACAAAATCTTTATTATATCAAGAGTTTCTTATATGAAGGCTTCCTATATCAAGCGTTACTATATGTTTGTTTATTAATTAGCTTGTCTATTGATCAACTGGTCTAATCAATATAAAGCAAATTTTTCTAAAAACATATGAAGCACCTTGTGTATATAAATTATTTATAAATCTTTGACCTACAGTATATCAATTTATCTCTTTTTTAAAAGCATTAAAAGCCACAATAATAAACTTTTGTATATCTACTATATTTCACGAATAATGCATAATAATAAATTCTTACATAATCTATTATTATTAATATTTTTTCTTCATTATGAACAATATTTCACGCTTATACTGTAAAACTGTTTATTATTGGAACTATCAAGAGCGTATAAACAATTTATTAAATTTGTGCGAAAATAAGGTAAATACTATCGTTGTAAGTAAATAAGTTTCACTTGAAAAATAAAAAAAAAGGGTTGGATAAGTTAAACTTCAATAATAAAACACGTGTTTATTAAAACGCACCAGTGGTGTTCAATATCAAAGTTGCTATATCTCGAAAACTACCAAATAATTAATGCCTAATGTACTGAGTGAAAATGTTCAGATTCTCCAAAGACCTCATACTAACTCAAAATTTAACCTATAATACTAATTCTTAACCTATAACAACGCCCGAATCTTGAATTTTTCTAGTAAAATTATATATGGTGTTGAACTCCACTTTTTTGCGCTTTAGTATTATTCATAAAACATGTCTCTTTAAATGTAATAAAATTTCTAAATAGATAAAATATTTGAGAATTCACACTAAAGAAAACTACTAAAGTCTAAGTATATAAGGTCTTCATAATCGTGAAATAAATCGTCTGCAAACAGTTAAAAGTCAATTAGAGCAAGCTATTAAAGAAGTCAAAGGGCCAGAAAGAGAATTCCAATTAGAAGACTGGGTAGATAAAGACAAAAATATCAATCAATCTTCACCAAATCTGATTTATAACAATTTGAAATGTTCGAAAATAAAATCTTCACATATCATCGTTCGTAGATGTTAAGAATTAGCATTGCTAAAAAGATTAAGATAGCAAAATTAATAAAAAGTAAAACACTTTCGAAATAAAACTTCACATGCAATATGAAACTTGTCTTTTTTAGCATTAATAATATCAATAATCTATATAATTTCTTATTTATTGGTTGATACAGTAATCTTATCCATATTATCAATTATGTATGTGCCTAACTCAATGTGTTAAATCTAAACAAAACTATCTCAAAAGCTTGTTAACATATTATAGTTTACTCAGTGTACCGAGTCACAGTTAAAATGTACTTAATAGGCCTAAACAGGTCAATCACTCACTATATTATACCTTAGTTGAAACTCGCTCATGTTATTTATTGTGCGAAAAAAAATGATAAATAAAAATGCCAAATAGATCATATAAATCGCGCATATTGTAGAACGTCAAATTACTGACAGCCTCTGAGGATAGACGAGGATTTGTTCTAGTAAACTCACGTGAAAAAATGAAAAGATTTTATTGGCTATCCTAAATTAATTACCAACACAAATAAGTAAGGCCCATGTATGACGTACGTACGTACGTGTTACGTGTACGTGTGTGTACATGTAACACGTAACATGTATAGAAAAAAGTAAATTAAGAGGAAATTGTTTTGCCGATCTTAGGTATCAAAATAACACGAATTACTGTAAGCAGTAAAATCACCAACCATACATAGTAAAGCCTACTTACACGCATGACCACATTTGATAAAAAGGGTCGGGAATACTCTTAATCAATAATGATCGACACTGTACTCTAATTACGTATGTCGTATTACCAGTGCAAGTAATAAATATACAGTTATTGGCACGATATACGTAACTTAATTTTTTCACAATAAAAATGTCGGATAAAAGCTTAAAAATAATCGATAATTCAAATCAACTAAATTTCGCCAATTGTCAAAAATTAGCAGAAAAGAATGATCCAAAAGGAATTTTCTTGCTTGGATATTGTTATGAATATGGGATTGGAGTTAAAAAGGATGAAAACAAAGCATTCACACATTATAAAAAATCGGCAGAAATGGATTATTCTAACGGAATGTTTCAAGTTGGTTATTGTTACGAATATGGAATTGGAATTGAAAAGAATGAAAAAGAGGCATTCATATATTATCAAAAATTGGCAAAAAAAAATGAAAATAATATAGAAGCTAAAAAAATCAATAGTAATGTCCCGAAACATACCAATAATGAGATTACTGAACTACCAAAAGTTGATACCGAGATTATCTCCAAGATAAGTGATGAAATTAACATGGATGATTTTAACGGAATGTATCAAGTTGGGTATTGTCATTATTTAGGAATCGGAGTCGAAATCGATAAGCATAAAGCGTTTGAATATTATCTGATGTCTGCCGAGGCAGGTAATTCCATGGGAATATGGAAAACTGCCATTTGTTACAAATATGGAATTGGTGTGGAAGTGAGTCACGACACATTTACTAAATGGATATCAAAGTGAGTTAATTTTGGTTCTTATTGAAATGTTTGTAGTCTATTTAAAATTATATTTCTTACATAATTTCAATTATAAGGGAGTAAGCATAAAGAGCATTTATTGCTATTTATCAGCAATTTTAAGCTCATAAATATTTATTGTTCGTGTTATTATTTTAGAACGCAAGTATAAAAAAATTTAATAATTTTATGCAATAAAAAACAGAAAAAATTCAAAAACAAAAAACATAAATGCTTATTTACCATTACATAAAAATCATTTCATTAATTAGTATGTGAGTATAATGAACAGTTAATAATTTACGAAATAAAAACAGCAAACCGAACTCATAAAACAAGAACATAAATACTTATATCATCACGTAAAACCATTTCATTTGCATTAATTTAGTTTGTGAGTATAAAAACATTTAATAATTTCTAGAAATAAAAACAACTAGAACATAAAAATAATTATTTACCATTATATGCAAATCATATCATTCAGCTCGTGAGTATAAAGAACATTCAATAATTTACGAAATAGAAAGTTCACAAAACAAGAACATAAATGCTTATTTACCATTACATAAAAATCATTTCATTCGCATTAAAATTTCTTTCAGCCCGTGAGTATAAAGAACATTTAATAATTTCTATAATTAAAACAACAAAACGAAACAAGAGCATTCATTACGTACAAATCATTTAATTCGCATTAATCGCTTCATTCAGCTAGTGAGTATAAAGAACTTTTATAGTTTACGAATAATAAGTTCACATAACTACTTATTTACCACATACAAATAATTGCATTAATCTTTTTATACAGCTTGTGAGTATAAAGAACGTTTAATAATTTACGAAGTAGAAACAGCAAAACAAGAACACAATTACCTATTTACCATTATGTACAAATCATTTCACTCGCATTGATTTAGTCGGTGAGTATAAAAAATATTTAGAAATAAACATCGTAAAACAAGTTCATAAAACAAGAACATAAATGCTTATCACCATTATATACAAAATCATTTCATTCAGTGAGTGAGTATAAAGAACATTTAATAATTTCTAGAAATAAACACAGCAAAGCAATCACAAAGAAAAAGAACTCATACTTATTTATCATTACGTATAAATCATTTCATTCGCATTAATTATTTCATTCAGTGAGTGAGTAAAGAAAATTTAACAATTTCTAAAAATAAAAATCATAAAACAAAACCATAAATACTTGTTTACCATTACGTACAAATAATTTCATTTGCATTAATTTTAGTCGGTGAGTATAAAGAGCATTATAAATTTACGAAATAAAACCAATAACATAGTTACTTATTTACCTTTATAAACAAATCATTTTCATTCGCATTAATTATTCCATTCAGCATGTGAGTATAAAGAACATTTAATAATTTTACTAAAATAAAAGCAGCCAAAAAAGTTCACAAAACAAGAACATACCAATCATTTCATTCACATTAATCATTTCATTCAGCAAGTGAGTATAAAAAACATTCAATAATTTCTAGAAATAAAAAAAAATTTTTACAAACAAGAACATAGATACTTATTTACCATTATTTCATTTACATTAATTTAGGCGGTGAGTATAAAATAGAATAAAACAAATTCATAAAAAAGACAAAAATACTTATTTACCTTTACATACAAATCATTTCATTCATATAAATTTAGTCGGTAAATATGAAATTTATTTACATTCGATATAAAGTTTAAACCGTAGATGCAAAATAAATAATTATATACTATATAGACATTCTAAATATGGAAAATGTGATCACTGTAAAGAAGATAACACGAATGAAGCATGGTGTATATCATGCGACCCTGACAAAGCAACAAGATGGACAAGTAGAAATAAGGAAATTGACGATTGTATGAAAGCGTTCCAACTTAGAGCCTACACATATGAAAGTGCGATTGAATGGATTCCATTTAATAGATTATCTGATGTTGAAAAAATTGGTCAGGGTGGATTTGGCTCAGTATATTCAGCAAAATGGTTGGATGGTATACGAAAAATTGATGGAGATGATAATAATTATGTAAGAGCGCGTGAACCATCCAGTATCGTTGCACTCAAGACGTTGACTAGTTCTAAGGAAAGCGAATTTGACTTTTTAACAGAAGTAAGTTAATTCATTGCTTTAATAAATTTATCTAATAATTAATGAACTAATTCATTATTTAAACATTAAGTTTAAAAGTCTTATGAAGTGTAAATTTAACTATAGCAAGCTCGCAATATATGGAATAACCCAAAATACAGAAACAAAAGAATATCTTATGGTATTTCAGTATGCAGATAATGGGAGTCTTTATAAATATTTAAGAAAAAATTTTAATGAACTTACATGGAAAACTAAATTACAAATACTTAAAGATATTTCAGACGATTTAGATAATATTCACAGACATGCAGGATACATTCATGCAGATTTTCATAGTGGAAATATTTTACAAGGCCAGACCACGAATAAAATTGTGGAATCTTATATCGCAGATCTAGGATTGTCTAGAAAAATAGATGAAAATGTTCCAGGTGATATTTATGGAGTTATGCCCTATGTTGCACCAGAAGTCTTATTAGGCAAGCAGATGTTTACACAACCAGCAGATATTTATGGGTTTGGTATAATTATGACAGAAATGTCTACTGGGCAAAGGCCTTTTGATGGATGTGAATTTAATTTAAGCCTTTCAGTCAAGATTTGCAAAGGATCGCGGCCAGGGTTTGCACCTGGAACTCCAGAATGCTATATTGAATTGGCTAATAAATGCATGAATTCTGATCCACAAAAACGACCTAGCGCTGAGGATATTTGGGTAGCAATAGATGGTTGGCTTAAAGAGATAGATAAATCAGGTGAAAATGAAATTAAGAAGCATTTCTTAGATGCAGATAAAGTTGTTAAATCATTGCCGATACTAAAGCATCCTGATGGAATGTACACTAGCAAAGTTATTAAATCAAACTTAATCTCAAAGGCGATAGGTATTTATTTTTACTAATATATTAAAACTATGTTATATAAATTTATTAATAATAAATTATTTGTTTATTTAGCTTCACCACAAGAAGATTTGTCACAAGATGAATCTCAAGTTTTGCTTGATATTGTTTAAGCTTGAAAGAAACGGTATGTATACAACTAATAAATCTATTTTATCTATTTTATAAGCTGTAAATAGTAATAATTTTAATTGTATCTTTTAAATAGAATTCACAATACTTAAAGATTAAAATTAGACTGAATGTTGATCGTTAGCTAAACGTGATATTAAAGTTGATTTGATTAAATCATTAAACAAATTGATAATTATTTTAATTAATTAATTGAGATTAAATAAAATAAGTTTAAATTAATTAATAAAATTTTGAAAAAAAATAAAGTACGAATAAAATATTTAATTAGCAAGATAAAAAAAGTAATTGATAAAAAGTGAAAAATTATGTACAGAAAATTAATTAGCATGGGCATTTAGACGTACCTAGCCCTAGAGCAAAACTAAATTTAATAATCATGTGAGATTATTTTTGAACATTTTACTTTTTGGGGTTTGAAATATAGTACACCTGCACAGTAGTGCATCCGTTTCGCGTGATTATAATATACCGTATTACCGCGTAATAACGCGCAGGGGTGAAATTATGAATTTCGGCCCGAATTAAGCTTAATTCGGGCCGAACCTCGAAATAACGCTCATGAGCGTTATTACGCGAAAATACGGTATATATAATAATATGAATAAATCTAACTAGTGATCATCACCAGGGTGCTTATATTTCAAGAACGTACTAGGTAAATGGGATTGGGTTCTCTAAGTAAAAATGTTCAGAACCCCCAAAAACCAAAAGTCCCAGCGTTACCAACAATCGAGGGCGCAGTCAGGTGATTTTCCGACGCATCACATGATCAAAACGACGAATTCATTTTTAAAGTATTATAAAGAAATTTTAAGCTTAATACAGGAGTACATTTTTATAAAGCTTTAATTGGTATAAAAAAAGCCTTGATTTTTATAACATAAACTACATCATACTCTATATAATAACATTAGACTGCAAAATAAAGTTACCCATAGTATTGAGTATTTTCATTGCTATCCTTCCATGTTCGTGGAAGTGTATGCCTTTTTTCGTGTTGCAAGATATCTTTGACTAATTTTTCAACCGGCATTAATTTGGATTCCATGTTTTCAAGAAATTTCAAGCGATTATGAAAAGCCTTGGATTCATTAAGAATACATTGTGTCTATTTTAAAAATAAATTTATCTCAAATATTTTAAGATATAAATAAAAGTTATAAAAACTTGCCTCGGTTAAAACTTGACATTACTGTGTATGTTTTTGTTCAATTTCATTCATAAGATTATTATCACTATTCATTTTATAAATTTCTTGAGTTATATTTATAGTAAAAGATTTATTATTAATGTCATTATTATTAACCAGATAGTCATTATCAGGTTTTTCAAGATTGCAAGCCGAATGTATTTCTTGCCAGGGGTTATGTGGAGATGCTGAAATTAATGGGTATCTTGAATTATGATGGACCTAAATTTTATAATCCTGTTAAATAATTTTCAATTATATTATGGCTTGATAATAATAATATATAATATATTATAAAAAAGTGTATTCGGCTTTGGGCCAATTGGAATTACCAAGTGCTTGCATAAAAAGAATTGGTTAGCTGTAAAATAAGGACAGAAGCAAATCTAGTATTCATGATTTGTTAAATGGTTGTTAAAGCTACAAGCCATGATAATAACAAGTTTCATTCTTTTTGAAATTCCTTTTGCCATGAAGTAAGCTGGCATCTATAACATACGTTGGGTGAATGATAAATCTTGTCAGTAAGGCTTTATTTAAAAAATTTAATAATATATTTGAATAATAAATTAATGCATTCTCTTAAAAAAGAATTTCATTAAATTCTATACAAATTTTAAGCCAGGTTTGCCAATTTTTAAAACATCTGTCATATTCATCCATACAGATGTTATCTGTAATTGTCTTTATTGCTCTTGCAAGATTTTCAACCCATTCAAAATGTCGACCAGCTAATTCATTTTTAATTTTTTGAAACAAATAAAAGTCACATGGTGCTAGGTCTGAACTATAAGGTGAATAAGGCATTAATTTAATATGTTTTTCTTTCAAATAATCAGTAACAATATCTGCCTTTTGTGGCCTAGCATTATTGTAATGCAGCAAGACGTTTCTTACAGTATGTCTATCTCTTTTTTTTATAAAATTATTAAACACCTCGAGCAATACAGTATTAGTATAGAACCTACTATCAACATTAGTACCTTCAGAAACTACTTTACTAGCTACTATATCATTCGCAGCAAAGAATACAAAACATATTTTTTACTATTTTTAGTGGTTTCAGCAATTTGTGGCCTATTTTCTCCAAATTTAACCCATTGTTTATTGCCTTCTTTGTTCAAAATAGTAAAAAAATATATCCATGATTCATCACCTATAATTATATTTTGGTAACCATTTTTTAAAATTTTTAAAAGTTTTTTAGAAATTCTAACTTGTTCTTGCTTATTTTTTTTCACTTAACTTATATGGAACCTATTTTGTACAAATTTTTTCATATTGAGCTCTTCATTAAGAATATAACTAACTTGTTCAAGAGAAATATTTAAAAGGTCAGCCAATCTTCTAATAGTAATATGAGGGTTATCAGATACCAATTTCTTAACTTTAGTAATAGTTTCTGATGTAGTGACTTCACAAGAATACCCAGAACGAGGCTTGTCTTCAACATTCTCATCTTCAGCTTTAAATGCAGCAATCCAGTAATCAACAATACATAATAATGCTGCCTGATCTCCTTTACCAATTACTAGTTCAGCATGAATTTTTGTTGATGTTTTATTGTTTTTCCATTGAATAATAGTATAATAATATTGATATTGTTGACTTATTTTTACTTCAATATTTTTAGAGGACAAATTTTAAAAAAAATTTTTCCCAATTTTACTATATAATAATATATTAAACTCAATGAAGTAATTTATAATAAGCCATGCTTATGAATGTATTAATTATTCATTTATAGCAATAATCTGCACAGAGATCTGACCTCACTGACAAATCTTTTTATACAGCACATGCAGTGCGTGAAATTCAAATATAATTTTATGTTCTCACAAGAATATCTATATAATAGATTTTGAAATTTTTTATATTCTCACATAAGTGTAACCTAAAATTTTTATGTTCTCAGAGAATATTGAGAACATTGAATTTTAAACACTGAGCACATGTAGTAATTTAAATATATCAACTTTTCAACTAATAGCCTAAATATTAATATAATAAATAGTTATACGTACAAATTAATAAAAAGTACATATATATAAATATATATACCTTTTTAACAATTATAAAACATAAAAGGTCCAAATAAGAACAATTATATTTATAAAGATGATCTCTCTTCAAAAATCTTCAATATGATTCAACTACTATAGTTGTGCACAAAATACCAATTTCTTTAAATAAAGATTGTGCCCAAAAAATCTATTAATTTGAAAAATACTACTAACACCAAAGATAGCTCCATACTAATATTAAATTATTATTCTGACAATACTGATATATTTTAGTAACACACTCAAGCCAAATTATATGTTGATCGCTTACAAATATTTTATCTTCTTTGAGAATTAGCATATAATGATTAAAATATTTTGTTATAAGGTTTTTTATATATATTTAAACCTTCTTATTAGCCAGTTGAAAACTTGTTTTTGATTTATTCATATTATCTTGAAATATTTCACCAAACATTGATAAAGTTGGCTGCCATAGAGAGTCAATAACTACACATTGCTTGTGTGCTTTAGTTGCATTATACTATATTACTTGAACTTTAGCTCATGATGATAATTTTTGCTCTACCACATGATTAACATGCCACAAACATAACTGCACCTTAAGATTAGTTCATGTTGGCCTTGCTATATTTATTTGTAATTGATCTTTGTCAGTATAAAAAATTTATACATTTGTTAAATTCCATACCTTTAATACTATAAACTATTCTGTAATAATCTTAGTAATATTGCAATTTTTGTCTGGTAAAATAAATAGATAAGAAATAGAGAATCCTGCTCCATCCACAATTGTTATTGCCCCATATAACTCATATTTATGTTTATTAGTGTTATATGTAGCATCTACCATGAGCTATATTAATGCATTTAGTGATAATATATTAAAGAAAGCAGTTAAGAAAGCAAAAGCATAATTTTTAAAAAAAAGAATTTTTTACTTTTGCTTTTGAAGAAAGATTTTCACAGAAACAAGTTCATCATCAGAATATTGATAATCAGCTTGTACCATGGATGACCACCAATAATATATTTGTTTAATTGTTAAAAGCTTATATATCCATTTATATGATTGTCTTTGATTGATAAATATTTGGTATGTCTTGTCCAATACAGAAACTTATATGATTTTTAACATCTTTTATTACATTGATTTTTTCAATCGTAAATGTAAGATATTATGTGATATATTAACTATTACAATATTTTTTGGATAAATTTTAACTGTAATTATGCCTTTAAATTCATAATATTCAATATGTACTTTAATGTTATATTGCTTTGAAACATCTTCAATCTTTTTTTAGCATCTGCATAGTTCATTTTGAGCATTACACCAGTATATTAACTTTGTAAATTTTGAATGTTTGCTATTATATATATTCTGATATACATATGTATATCCATCTCTATTACTAATTGCATTAATTACTAAATTGGCAATATCAATATATGGATTATCTTGTTTAGTAATGGTAACTTCAGCTGATGAAATACATTTATAAATAGAATTTAAATTAATGTTAAATTGAAGCTAAAAATGAAACTGTCCTTTGAGATTATCATTCAGGTTTTTATATTCTACTGTAAAAGTATATTATAAATATAATCTGCAACATTGTTAAAATTAATAATATTTTTCTTTTTATCTATTAAAGTATTAGTTTCTTGCCGCTTTCACTTCTTAGTTTGTAAAGTATTAATATGGCAGGCCATGCAACGATTTAAAATATCATTTTTACCAGCAATAAATTCTTCAAGTAGTCGAATACAATTACACCTAGTACAATATTATAAAGAGCTTGTGTTTTTCATTTTTTTATTATTATAAATTCTTTATTGTTAATAATAATAAAAATAGTAAAATAGTAATAGAAATAAACAATTGTATTGTGTATAAAATTCTTTATTATTAATAACAATAAAAATAGTAAAATAGTAATAGAAATAAGCAATAGTATTGTGTATATATAATGCAAAATTAATATGTAGTGATAGTGTATATAATAGTCTCCGAGGTTATGTAAAGATCAGAAAATCATCTGACTATGTCATCAATTGTTGGTAATGCTGAATTTGCTTTAAAAACTAAGATTGGGTCCTATCAGGCTCTTATAGTAGCTCTATATTATATTATATAAAAAAAATAATTCTCTAATTTCTAACCCTAACTCTAAATATATCTATGGGTGGTGACAATCACCATGGTTATTTTGATTTTTTTTTTTTTTTTTGAATTGTCAACAGGTTTTGTCATGACTGATCTTATTTATTAATATTTATAATAATATAAATACATGGGGTGGAGTCAATAGAAAAGGGACAAATTGTTTTTAGTGAAATTTTTTTAATTTTTAAATTAAAATATCTCAAC